CCACGTGGGCCCCCTCCACTTATACTTGCACCCACACACTTCGTCTTCCACTAGAAAAAATCCTCCACCATCTCAAACCCGAGTTCTAGCTCATCTTGCTACCATTTTCGATCTCCTTGCTCAAAGCTCCATTCACAAAACTTCTTTGGGGGATTGTTCTTCGATATGTGACTCCTCCAATGGTCCAATTAGCTTTTGTTCTAGGGCTTTATTTATTGCAAAAAAATTCTGCTTAGGTGACCCTGTTCATGAGCTTGCATGTCAAATTTATGTGGTCAAAAGTAGTTTTAATGCATGATATAGTCTCTAGACACTTGTGGAAGTAGTTGCTATTAATCTTGTTGAGTTTGGTTCACTTTTATTTTGAGTCACTAAAAATTTCAGAAATTTTTCAGAGAAAATGATGATGAGAGAATTGAGGGGCTCTTCGAGCCGAAGCTCGAAGGATAAGAAAAGTGAAGAGAATAAGAAGCCCAAATATAATCTCCCTCACAATGCGGAGGTTCGGCCGTGCGAATGGCCTTGTGATGAGTTCTTGAGAGCAGCCGGGATTTATGATGACTTTTATTATTTGGCTGAGAATGCAGGCCTCATCGACTTCCTCCGCGACCAGCGGGAACAGTATCTCCTTCTCACCAATATTTTCGTGCAAATTTTTTACTTTCATGCTAAGAAATCACCACCTTTAGTGGAGTTTCACTTATATGATGAGGTTAAGGAGATTTCACTATATGAGTTTTGTCGGATCTATAAGATACCCTTTGCGGGCAGCATAAAGGAAGCACATCGTAATGATGTGGAGGGGTTTATTGATACGATTGATGTAGGGGAAACGGGGAAAGTTTCCAATGCAAGAATTACTAGCATACATTTTCCTGTTTTACGTTACTTTGCAATATTTGCTAGTAGATGCTTAATTGGTCGCGGGAACAGTGGAAATCTCAGTGCCCCTGATATTGTTATTTTGCGCCATGCTTTTTTTCGTGATACAACTTTCAGTCTCGGCGCTATTGTTGCTAAACGGTTAAATCTAAACCGTACAAAGGGCCCCATCTTTGGAGGCATCTTGGCTTCATGCCTTGCTGCACACTTTAGGAACCTATTAGGCATTATGAGAAAGAGGAAAAGTTGTTGCCCCTTTTTTTCTAGATTATAAGAGTATGGTAGCACATTATTTTATTGTTAAGGATAAGAAGAAGGTGCTTAAGAATAGATTGATTTTTGATAAAAACTACTATGAGATTATTACCTTTCCTGCGCCCTCTTTGTTTAACATATTTTCAGGCATGTACCTCGTTTTGCCGGAGGCCGTTCGTGCATACTGGAGCCGGACACCAGCTCCAGAGCTTAAGCCGGAGCCACCCCTTGATCCTTATCGACAGTCTGTTTATTAGTGGGATCCAGAGGAGATCGCCAACCAGTGGCACCCAGAGGACACTCCTCCGTACATCGGAGAGGGCAGCTTTGAGCCATGGACATAGACCAACTTAGGCCAAAAGCCTAAGCTTGGGGGAGTACGTATTTCTCACCGACATTACATTCGTGTTCACACACTCATGCCAGTTGTCGATGCTCATACTTTTTCATTGTAATATCCATGCTAATTTATTTTCCTTTCTAGCATTCTTCTTGTGTGTTCGAAAAACCTTAAGAAAAACCAAAAAAATAGTTGTAGCTTTTAGCTAGTTTACTTTCCATGCTTGTGGTAGTAGTAATTAAAAGAAAACCCAAAAATATTTCTCGTTCTTCTTTTCCTTTTTGGGAGCTTTCCCGTGTAAATAGTTTTGTTTATTTTCTTTTCTTTGTGGGTCGAGAGGAGAAGACCATGATGAAAATGTTGAGTGGCTCTCATATGCATTATTGTTGATCTAACCAAGAGCCCATATTACCTTGTCTTCTCCTATGTATTGAATGCTTGCAGATTCCAGCTTAGTCCAATGCACGTGCACTATTATTATTATCCACACCGTTCGGTTGTGCAAGTGAAAGACAATAATGACGATATATATATATATAGGGCTGGACTATTCTGTTACTAGTAACATAATATTATTCTGTTACCATCGGTCCCTATATATGCACACGCGAAGAATTCAGCCCACACACCATGCACCACATCCCGAGCCCCGATCCACCGCCGCCCCCCTGCTTCCATCCGCCGCCGCCCCATGCATCCAGCGCTGGCCCCTCCACCCCCGCTGGCCCTCTTCCCCAGCGCGCCACCATGCCCTCCCCCACCGCCATCTTCCACGCGCCGCCGTTGCTAGCCCCCTGCCCAGCGCGCCGGGGGCCCTTCGCGTCCCATCTCTGGCGACGAGCCGCCCCCGCTGGACCCCGAGCGCGGCCGCCCCTCCGACTATGCCGAGTTCGTCAGTCCGTCAGTTCGCCGATGGGCACCGCAAGTCAGGACCCCATCTTCCACCCCGCCTCCCACCTCCCGGCCGCCGCGCGCCTCCCTTCCCCGGCCGTTGCGCACCTCCCACCTCCCGGCCGCCGCAGGCCTCCCTTCCCTGGCCGCCGCGCGCCTCCCTTCCCCTGCCGCCGCGCACTGTCGACGGTGGTGCGCCTCATTTCATCGCTCTATGGCTTGGTGCTCACCTCGATGGCGCCGCGGACGCAGTGGAGCTACTGCATCGCCTCCTTCCCGTGCTTACAGGTTGGCCTCCTCCTTAGCCCCTTCTGCCCCGAGGAGGACAACATCCAGCACAGACCGTTCACCGCCACTACCCCGGGCAGTTCACCACTGTCATCCTTGGCCATTCACCCCTGCTCCCGACTTCCCTTCCATTCCTCAGGTACGTGCACCGCACCCAGTCCGCCCAATTCGGTCGTCTGCTATGCCGCTTAGGATTTCTTTCTTGTCTGTTGTCGAAATTCCACTAGCGGTCTGGCTGGCAAGAGGCTGCTTGCTTTCAAGGCTTGTCTTGATGTTGCTGCTTGCTGAATTTCGAGGGCGATTAGTGATCTCGGCAGGGGGAGAATTGGTGTTTTATTTAGCCCAGTGCAGTTTAAGGAGGAGTGCGTATGTAGGAGGTCTTTAGTTCTTTGTCTTATATCACCATTCACGTGGGTGAAGCATAATATAGTCTGTATCATGAAAGGTTAATTTTGCTGCCCCTGGTCGGATTTTGGGGCCTGCAACAGTTTACATCTAGACATTTCTCCATTTTTGCATTTTATTTTTGCACCATCTCCGTTTGCCTGTATATATACCTAGATGTGCTAATTATCAGTTTGACTGTATCATTTCAACTAGTTAAAATTGTCTCAGTTCATCTAGTTAAATTGTCTTAGTTCCAATATATTTACTGTGCTAAGAAAAGTCAAAATATTAGTTAATCATGCTTCCATTTCCTCCAAACAAAAAATGATCTCTGAAGATTATGTCTTTCCCCTTGCATAACAACACATGGAATTACTTCTACAAACCCGGCTAGTGTGAGCGACAAAATGGAAATCACACTACATAAGAAAAAGAATTATGCACCGTGTATCAACCCCCAAGCAACTCACATTTGTTAAAGATGGACTTCTGTCGCATAAACAACAATATCAGGCATTCAGGATGTTGTCCATCGTCATTGAATGATTAAATCACACACACAGATATGCTAGTAGGTAGCGCTCTTAAAAAGTGAGTTTATTCCTACATATATGTACTAGTGACACTACTCTTGCATAAAATTTCTCCTTTTGCAAAAAGTAGTTTTTGCAAAAAGAAGCAAAAGTCATGTTTACCTGGGCTGCAAAAATGATGCTTGCTAGGTGTTTGTTCTAATGCATATGTGAACATAACACTTTTATTTCTTGTTTTCTTTATACTGAGAAGAAACCTTGTGAAGGTTTAGGGAAACAGAAGGGCTCACCAACAAAAGCCACTAAAAAAGTTTAGAATAATATTGGGGAGGATCAAGTGCAAGAATACAAAAAGTTTAGAGTTGAGAAAGCGGAAAAGTTCATAGGCCTCTCCTGTTCACAAACGCATGCCGCTGGCCGCTAGAGATGTGCCGCCGCCATTGCCCATCCAAAATCACAGTGCCTATCGAGTTTCTTTGTCAAAAGCTTGCATCGATGGCTAACTCCATACTATTATTTTACCTACTATTATGCTAATGTTGTACTGGTGCTCTTGCTTATTAAGGCATGCATCAATAGTCAATCTTGAACTGGATGTGCTATTCTATGTTCGGTGACTGGAGCGTTTCTTTAATGGATGTGTTCTTTGGCTGAGGACGTCAACGTTATGTTGTTTTCATACTTTCAAAAAAAAATATAAGTTCAAAATGTTTAACCCTATAAGTTCATTGAAAAACAGAAACAAAAAAAATAGTACATGAGCAAGTAGCCGCCCTGCACTGGATGTCAATGTTATGTTGTTTTCATACTTTCAGCTCACATTGTAGCTTTTTCCAGTTCAATGGATTCCAAAAAGGAAAAAACGGTGGATGGGTGATGAATCAACTTCCTGTACTGTTGTGCCATGAGCATTGGACGACCCCGACCACTAGCACCACTGCTTCCCGACCTCCTTCTTGCATCGCCATCTCCTGGTGGGGCTCTGCCGCCGGAGCACTCTGGCCATTCACAGCCACCACTCCAGGCCGTTCAACGCCACCACCCCAGGCCATTCATTGCCAGCAGCACCCTGGACCCACCCCACCCTGGGAGTTTCAGTTATCGAGTAAGTTTCAGTCCAACTTGAGCTTTCAGTCCATGTGTCTCTTGCTGTTGTGGCCGGTCTCCAGGTACATAGTGATGTTCCTATTCATGCATGTAGTGTTGCTCCGTTAAATCACTTGTTTCATATTGTTTGTTCCAACCACGCTGGATGCCTAGTACTAGTAGCTTGGACTAGCCTATACATGAGCATCTCAAGCCGTTGTTAATAGATGTGAGTAGTACTGATTGTTTTGATTGAGTTGGCGTCTCAGATTACACTGGAGCATGTGTTTTCACAGAGAGTTTAGGTTCCAGATTGCCAAAAGTCCGAAGATAGTGAGATGGATGGGAAACTACCAGACGGAGATGATATTGGACAAATCAAAATTAGTAAAAGAAAGAAAACGCTAGAAGTTCAACTAGGGTAACTTAAAAAGTTCATGAAAAATAAATATAGAAGTTCAGAGAAGAGGGTCGGAAAAGATTTGGGAAAAGACACACACCAAAAAAACATGGGAAAAGGTCAGTTCAAAAAAAACTTGCCTTAGTTAAGAGTTTATTTGGAGTGGTTAGCAATTCAATAACTAGAAAAAGGACACATCAGTTCAATTATACTTGCCAGAAGTAGTTAAGAGTTTATTTGCTGTGGTTAAAAAATCAAGCTAAATTTCTATAGTTCTCAGGTTAGAAAAAGGTCTCATTTCACTTTGCTAAAATCCATCCAGAATCTTGGAATCCTATGTGGTCTCTGGCAAGGTATGCATAGAATGATATCTACCTCGATGAGTGTAATGTGTTTTCTCACTTCCAGGCCTGGGGATGTTTTTTCATTTGACATACTTCAAGTATTTTGTGGGTAAGTAAACCAATCATGTTTTTGTAGTTCGGAGGGAAATCATAATAAGTTCTAAGGAAATAAATATAGAAGTTCATATTTCGAAACAAATGAAGTATTTGGAAAGTAAAATGAATTATTTCAAAGTACATAACCTTTTATGTTTCGTTGCGAATTTGTAATGTTACTGTACATGAACTTGTGCATGCTAATTGGTGGCTATTGTGTGTGCAGGGTACGTCCAACGACAACGAGCAGGCGGCAAGTATATTGATGAGCAGCGGGATGGTGGCATGGAGCAGTTGAGTAGGTGTGCGTAGTTCAAGTTCCCCAGTATTTGTAAATGCTGGTAGCAGTACTAGTATTTACAAATTTGTAACCTAAGCACTAAGCTTGCATCTCGTTACTTCTATGGAAGCACTGACCTCGTAATATTATTGGACCAACCACTAACTTGAGAATTAGACATGGTGCTCAGTGTATTCTCTCATCTTGGTTGTTGTTGCAGTGCTTATAAGCTTGACATCTTTGATGAATCCAGCCCAAACTGAAGCATGTCGGTGAGCCGGGGGCTGGGCCAACCACTGTTGTTTGTCTACCTCCTTCCCCGGTGAGCCCATGCTCTTCTGCTCTTGACGCTTGAGCCGCCTGCAATTCTTTTCTCTGTTCGAAAATTCCCAAAGCATCAGTACTTTGTATCTGGATACACCATGTTATTTCTGCAAATTTCCATTATGCTTGTATGTCCAAAATGTGTGCATTTACTACTTTTGATTTGTTGTAGTGCAGAGAAGTTACCCTGTTGCGGGCTGACCTGGAGGTGGCTCCGACACAATTGCAGGACCACCACGCAAGCTTCCTCAAGGAGCTCATGCCCAACGATACTAAAAGAAAAAACTGCTCCAGTTTTGAACTACTTATTCAGTCATGCTATTACCGAGTGAAAAATGGAGTGAAAGAGTATTGCAATTGATCTCTCTTAGACCCTGTCAATCCTCTATCTATCCTTTCTTTGCTTGTTTTTTGGTCTGTAATTCAAGAACTTTGACCTTCGTAATTCGGTTTTTGGTTAATTTGTTATGCCCAGTACAAACCACTAAATCTGAAGAGGCTTCTAATAGCAAGAAAATGTGCAGTCGGTGTGGTGTATATGTCATTCATGTATGAAAATTTGCGGTCGGTGTTGTGTATATGTTATTCATGTACATGTATTATTTATGTGAAAAAATTTCTATATATGATGAGACGATTGCTACTTCAAAGAAGGTATAGTACATGACAGCTTGATGTGCATGCAAGAATAAGAAAATGGTTTGAATCAAAAATATTGATCAGTACGAACTAAAAACAACGATCAGTTTGGAAAATAAAAGATGGTTAGGTTTTGGTATTCTGTGACATTGACGTCCAAGAAAACATCCAAGTTCTGCAACTGATCCGTCCAGATAGGACAAGGTGGTCAGTCCAGCAGGCGCATCTCAAGTGTCATGTCAGTGCGCCGCCCACCAGTCACCATGCCTCTCCGCCACATGTCGTGTCGTGTCGCCTTGCCATCAACCACCGTTGTGGCTCAGCCCTGTAGTGCTTCCGCGATCACCACACTCAGCTTTGTTCTATTGTTGTCCTCGCCTTGCTCTCCTCAATATTGGCATTACAAAAACACCGCAAGTTCACAATTACTCTTAAAAACAGCACGATGAGTCTCACCGTATTTCAAAATTACTCTTAAAAGATGGGAGCAAGTACAAAATCATAAAGACATCCGTTCAAAGTATTCTTTTTTCGGAACCATTCAAAACTACTCTCTGAAAAATACCTCAGTACAAACATAGACATAGATCAGTACGAGTACTCTGTTTTTAGACATGAAAAAACAACACAATGGGTTTCACCTTATTCAAAATTAATTTAAAACGGTTTTGAAATAGAGAAAGCGTTCAACATGACTAAGCTTTGCATTTTCGATAGCTATCCAACGGTATATTATTTGCCCCATTTCGACAAACTTTTTAAAAAAAACCCGTTCAAAACCAATTTTAACCGTATTTGAATTTGTATTTAAACCGTAAAGAATTAGAAAAAACTTTCTATACGCAAAACTTGCGCATTTTCCATAGCTTTCCAACGTCGTATCATTTGCGTCAATCCGACAAACCGTTTGCAAAAAACAGTGAAAAAACATTTTGCCCAGAATTTCACCGTTTTTCAAATTACTTTTAAATCATATAAAATTTGAAACAATAGTAGATATATGTAAGATGCGGATTTTCACAAGCTTTCCAACGCTATCTCATTTGCTCAATTCCGACAAACCGTTTAAAAATTAAGTCGAAAATACGATTCGCGTTTTCGGTTTTGAAAAAACGTTTTTTTCAAAACTGCTCTTAAATCATAATTTTTTTGAAAAAACAAATTATAAGATTGTAATGTGGATGTCAAGAGCTTTCCAACGATATATTACACGCCCCGTTTCGATAAAAAAAATTGCAAAAAAATTTGAACTAAAGAAGACGATTTTTAACGGCAACAGAAAGCATCAGTTCAACCGCTCGAATTTCATCAGTTCAACCGCTTGAATTCATCAGTTCAAGTAGGGTAACAGAATAATATTCTGTTACACGTAACAGAATAGCCTAGATGTATATATACATATATATATATATATATATATATATATATATATATATATGATGGACTGATTGAGATGAGAGAAACTGGTATGAACTCGACCTATCCTGTTTTTGTGAATATGATTAGTTCATCGTTCCTGATTCAGCCTATTATGAATGAAACATGTTTGTTATGAAAATTAGAGATTGTAGTTGCTCATGCCATGCTTAATTAGCTAGGAGTTTATAATGGTTTACCTTGCGTGCCAACATGCTATTAAAATAGTTGTGATGTGGTATGATAGGGTGGTATCCTCCTTTGAACGATTCAAGTGGCTTGACTTGGCACATGTTCACGCATGTAGTTGAAACAAAATCAACATAGCCTCCACGATATTTATGTTCATGGTGAATTATATTCTACTCATGCTTGCACTCAGTGTTGATTAATTTTAATGCATGTTCATGACTGTTGTCGCTCTCTAGCCGGTCGCTTCCCAGTCTCTTTCTAGCCTTCACTTGTACTAAACGGGAATACTGCTTGTGCATCCACTTCCATAAACCCCAAAAGTTATTCCATATGAGTCCACCATACCTTCCTATATGCGGTATCTACCTGCCATTCCAAGTAAATTTGTATGTACCAAACTCTAAACCTTCAACTGAAATTTTGTTTTGTATACTCGAATAGCTCATGTATCAACTAGGGTTGTCTATATCTTCCATGCTAGGTGAGTTATTCTCAAGAGGAGTGGACTCCACTCCTCACTCACGAGAAAATGGCTGGTAACCGGGATGCCTAGTCCCATGCTTAAATTAAAATAATTGCAAACAAAACTCCCCCAGGATTGTTGTTAGTTGGAGGCACCCGTTGTTTCGGACAAGCCATGGATTGATGTTTGTTGGTGGTGGGGGAGTATAAACTTTACCATTCTGTTTGGGAACCGCCTATAATGTGTATAGTATGGAAGATATCGAGATCTCTATGTTGTTATGTTGACAATGAAAGTATACCACTCAAAGTATTATTCATCTCTATTTCAAACTCGAGCTCTAGCACCTCTACAAATCCCTGTTTCCCTCTGCGAAGGGCCTATCTATTTACTTTTATGTTGAGTCATCACCCTCTTATTAAAAAGCACCAGTTGGAGAGCACAACTGTCATTTGCATGCATTACTACTATTTTACATTGAGTATGATTGTGATTGGATCTCTTACCATGAATTACAATGTTTAGTCAATCCTTGAACCTCAAAGGTGCTCTGCATTTATGTTTTGCAGTCTCAGAAAGGGCTAGCGAGATACCATCTTTTTGTATCATATTATGATTGTTTTGAGAAAGTGTTGTCATCCAAGATTTACTATTATTGCTCGCTAGTTGATTATGCCTTTGATATGAGTAAACATGAGACCTAAATGTTATTGTTAATATGGTTAGTTCATAATATTTGATGAAAACTTGAATGCTGGCTTTACACATTTACAATAACAAGATCAAACAGAGTTTGTAAAAGTTTTTCTTTATCACTTTCTGTTTGTCAACTGAATTGCTTGAGGACAAGCAAAGGTTTAAGCTTGGGGGAGTTGATACGTCTCCATCGTATCTACTTTTCCAAACACTTTTAACCTTGTTTTGGACTCTAACTTGCATGATTTGAATGGAACTAACCCGGACTGACGATGTTTTCAGTAGAATTGCCATGGTGTTATTTTTGTGTAGAAATAAAAGTTCTCGGAATGACCTGAAACTTCACGGAGAATATTTTTGGAATATATAAAAATACTGGCGAAAGAATCAACACCAGGGGGCCCACACCCTGTGCATGAGGGTGGGGGCGCGCCCACCCCCCTAGGGCGCGCCCCCTGTCTCATGGGCCCTCTAAGGCTCCATCAACCTCAACTCCAACTCTATATATTCACATTCTGGGAGAAAAAATCAGGGAGAAGGATTCATCACGTTTTACGATAAGGAGCCGCCGCCAAGCCCTAATCTCTCTCGGGAGGGCTGATCTGGAGTCGGTTTGGGGCTCCGGAGAGGGGAATCCATCGCCATCGTCATCATCAACCTTCCTCCATCACCAATTTCATGATGCTCACCACTGTGCGTGAGCAATTCCGTCGTAGGCTTGCTGGACAGTGATGGGTTGGATGAGATTTATCATGTAATCGAGTTAGTTTTGTCAGGGTTTGATCCCTAGTATCCATTATGTTTTGAGATTTATGTTGCTATGACTTTGCTATGCTTAATGCTTGTCACTAGGGCCCGAGTTGCATGATTTTGGATCTGAACCTATTATGTTTCCATCAATATATGTGAGTTCTTGATCCTATTTTGCAAGTCAATAGTCACCTACTATGTGTTATGATACGTTAACCCCGAAGTGACAATAATCGGGACAATTACCGGTGATGACTATAGTTTGAGGAGTTCATGTATTCACTAAGTGCTAATGCTTTGTTCCGGTACTCTATTAAAAGGAGGCCTTAATATCCCCTAGTTTCCAATAGGACCCCGCTACCATGGGAGGGTAGGACAAAAGATGTCATGCAAGTTCTTTTCCATCAGCACGTATGACTATATTCGAAATACATGCCTACATTATTAATGAACTAGAGCTAGTTCTCTGTCACCCTATGTTATAACTATTACATGAGGAATCACATCCGACATAATTATCTATCATTGATCCATCGCCTATGAGCTTTTCACATATTGATCTTTGCTTAGTTACTTTTCCGTTGCTACTGTTACAATCACTACAAAACCAATACTGTTACTTTTGCCACCGTTACCGTTACTTCCATATTGCTTTGCTACTAAATACTTTGCTACAGATATTAAGTCTTTCAGGTGCGGTTGAATTGACAACTCAACTGTTAATACTTGAGAGTATTCTTTGGCCCCCCTTGTGTCGAATCAATAAATTTGGGTTGACTACTCTATCCTCGAAAACTGTTGTGATCCCCTATACTTGTGGGTTATCAGCGGCTGAGATGACCCTGCCACTCCCTGACATCTTGAGGAAGTTGTAGCCGTGATGGGTCACCGCCATAAACTTGGCCAGGGCTGGATACCCAAGGATGGCGTTGTATGGCAGATGGATGTGGGCGACGTCGAAGTCAATGAGCTCGGTGCGGTAATTGTCGCGCTGACTGAATGTGACGGGGAGGCAGACCTGCCCTATTGGGGTGGTGGAGCCATCGGTCACTCCTGAGAACGGCTTGGTAGGCTACAGCTGATCATATGGCACCTAGAGGCGATCGAACGTCTCGACGGACAAGACGTTGAGCCCTGCGCCACCGTCGGTGAGGGTCTTGGTAACTTCGACGTTGCTGATGATGGGCGAGCAGAGCAGCGGGAGG